TTAAGACTGTTAGGCAATGTCAGTCTTGGTATATGACGAAGAACAACTGATTAGCACAATTATGTCACCTTCTCTAAAGTAGTACAGTCGGGCTGGGGATTTAGCTCAGTGGTTCTCCTGCCTGCCTGGCAAGTGCAAGGACCCGAGTTCAATCCCCAGTACCAAAAAAAAAAAAAAAAAAGCAATAAAAAAAGCAATTCAATAAAGTAGTACAGTCAACAATAATAATTGCATCAAATACAGCCTAGAAAATAATGACAAATTGTAGCCCTTAATGTGGCATTTTTATCCTTAGGGGAGTAGATTTAAAAGGGGTCAGGGGGCCAAAAACAGAAATAGAAAAAGAGGAAGAGATCAGAAGCAAGGCTGGAAGACAAACTTTGGGAAACTGGTGAAGAAGACAGGTTGGAAAGAGGAAAGAAAAAAATAAAAACAAGAGCAGAACAGACTGCCACCAACAAAAAACTAGAAACTGTTCAAATGATCAAGAAAAAAAGAAAACAAAACAAGAACTAGAAAGGAGGAAAAAAACAAAGAAAAAGAACAAAAAAGGAAAAAGAAAAAAGATAAAACCCCAATACATCCAATTCAAGGTGTGTCTCTGGTGTCCCTGTTAAGCAATGTGGACAAACAAGAGTCCAGAGCCAAGTTAATCCTAGCAAGCTTAGCTGTAGCTTCAAGGTGGGGTAGTTGGTAATCCCAGCCTGCCTGCCCCCTTAGTTCCTCTGAAGTTCAGGCCGGTTTCTGCCTGAGGCCGGAACCAGATTCCTTGAGCCTACAACAGTCTTTCCTTCTGGCTTGAATACTACTCCCTGATCTGCTGACTTGAAATGACTCTTGTACCAAGGCATCAGAAGCCACTAAATGGAGTCTGCCCACAGCTGTTTTGAGTTCAAAGCTCAGTTGGGCCCTCTCCAAGATGGCTACCAGCCAACCACCCTCTCTTGGGTGAGGTCTGAACACAGATAACTCACCAGCTGTTGCAGTCCAGTGTGTGCACTGCTCCATTCTACTGGTGTATTTCTCCATGGAGGCCTCTGGGTCATCAGCAGTCACTCTGCGTCTGCAGGTTCAGCCTGCCATTCCCTCTCGGAGAGTCCAGGGTCTGGGAGAGAGCACTGCTTGGTACCTTCCTCCTTTTTGTTAAAGTCTCTTTCTTCACTCTCCCCGTAGACTTCAATTCTCACCTTAGATCCTGCCTGGGTCCCACTGACCCATTTCCAAGGTCCATCCCTTTTAGAAGAGTTTTGTTGCTTTTCTCCAACAGCTTTTAAGATTTTGTCCGTGTTAGATTTCTGGAATTTTGACTATGACACGTCATGGAGAGGCTCTTTTTTGACTGTGGCTATTTGGGATTCTGTATGCTTCACTTATCACTATGTTTAATTCTTTCCCTATATTTTTAAAGTTTTCTGCTATTGTTTCTGTAATTAGGTTTTTTAATGCCCTTTGTGTTGTCTTCTGATTTTTTACTAACTACAGTTAGTGTTCTTTGAATCATCTTAAGTGTTCTTCACACCATAGCAGCTGTTGGGTCCATTTTTCATATTCTCATTTTTAAGGTGAATAGTCTGTGACTGCAGCCCTATCTTGTAGTTCTAATATTCTGTCCTTACATTGGTCACTTGTGCTGCCCATATTTTTAATAGAATTTTTAATCTTTTGGATTTCTTGGTGGAACTTTTCATGGACTGCAATTCTTTGCTAAATTGGCCATTCATGTCTTGTAACATTTTGTTTAGTTCAGCTAGCTTTTCATTATTATCTTCTGTATAAGATACTGATCATTTTATTACATCCATTATGTTTAATTACATCTTCTTTAAGCTCACCAGGGATCTTATTGATCTTTTTGTAATCTCTTCTGTTATCCTTTTATAAATGTGGTGGTGAACTGAGCACTCTGTTATCCTTTTGAAAAATTTGGCTGTGTGACTAATTGAGTTTTTTGTTTGTTTTGGTACTGGGGATCGAACTTGGGACCTTGCGCTTGCAAGGCAGGTGGCAGCATCACTGAGCTAAATCCCTGGCCCCAACTTTGACATTTTGAAGTGGCCAGGTCAATGTTATTTCTTAGATAGGTTTGCTGATTAATTGTCCTTCAAAATTTACTTGATTTAAAATGCTTTTGTACCTTTTAAAATTTGCTTATGCTGGGCATGGTGGCACACACCTGTAATCCCAGCACTTGGGAGACTAAGGAAGGAAGATCGCCACCATGAGTTTGAGGCCAGCCTGAATCACAAACCAAGACACTGTCTCCAAAAAAACCAACAACACAATGTGTAATTGATATTGTGTAATAGGAAGAAAAGGTCTAAAGGAGTAGGGGAAGTGGAAGGGGTAGGGAAAAGGAAAGAAGGGAAAAGATATGAGAAAAGGTAAAAAAATGGGAAAAAGTCTTTGCAAATAGGGAAGGGTGGAGGAGGTGTGGGGAGCGGTGTCAGCCAAAAAGCTTCATTTTAATTTTACTCTTTGTTATAAATAGCCAGGAGACTATGTAATGGGGAACCGTGTCTCCACTAACTCCGATGTTTCCCTTTAGAGTTTGCCCTAGCAACAAGGTGAACCTTCTGTAACCCCAGGAAACAAAGTAGCCCATGAGGGCGAGGAGTGTCTAGAAAACTAGCAAACAATGAAGCAGGTGTTTTGGATAAAGGTCATGCTTAATGACCTAACTTACTGAGTGTATAAAAGAGAGGTGAAAATAAGCTTGCTTGCTCGGTCTTGGGAGCCCTCCCGACTCTGTCTCTTCTCTTGATTTTTCTCAGTCCTCCTTTCCCCCATTCAGGAACCTTTCGACTGGTGAGGGCTGGTCCATCACAAGGAGGTGAAGGGAGGGCAGGGGAAGGGGAAAAATAAGAACCAAGACACATCATGTAAAGGTACAAGATCCCAATGATGAATGTAACTGTATTTTATACATAAAATGTACCAATAAACTTAATGAAAAAAAAAGTATCTTTAGGGTTGGGGATATAGTTCAATGGGAGAAAAAGTCAAGTATAATTCTTTTGTTTTCTAGCCCTGGCTAAGGACCCAGGGCCTTTTGCATGCAAGGCAAGTGTTCTACCACTGAGCTACATCTGAACAGCCATTTTTATTTTCATTTTGGTAAGGTTTCCCTAAATTGCAATCCTTTTCCCTCAGCCTGTTGGGTAGCTAATTAGAGGTGTGTGCCATTATGCCTAGCAGCTGTATTGACTTTTAGAAACTCAGAAGACAGAACACTAAGATAAATACCTTGATTTTAATATGACTGGTTTCCCCTGCAAGCTTCAGAATGTTTATCATGTCCCTACCACGTGGTTGCTGTACTATTGCTGGGATAGTAACTAAAAGGAAAACTCCAACCCTTATAGATTTTAAATTCTGTGGTGACAATATTGTTATGCACATTTAGGATTTTAAATCTCTCAAAGCAGGTTTATTCACCTCTTTGTTCCATGACTTAGTACATGGGGCATATTGGTGGCCAACAGGCCAACAAATTTCTACTAGTTCTATTGTTCAGATACCTGGCATAGATACCTAGGCATGTTATCATCAGTAAAATGCTTAAAGATACACATGTATGATTGACCAGAATGATGAACTAGTCTATAGCTTGTCTGAAAGGCTTCTCTACAGGTATTTACAGCTGCAAGCCTCTCCTCCCTTCCCTTTGCTCAGGCAGCAATTAAATAGGACATTCCACCATTTTGGCCATTTCTAATGTGGATGAGGAGTGGCAGGTTGCAGAGAAGCAGCAACTATGATTTCAGTAGACAAAGGAAGCTTATAGGCAAATCTCTGCTATGTAATTAAATTGGTACAAATCTGCTTAGCTTTTTTTTTTGGTACTGGGGATCGAACTTGGGTCCTAGCGCTGGTGCAGCAGGTGGCGAAACCACTGAGCTAAATCCCCGGCCCTGCTTAGCTTTTCTATATCAAACTCTGTCCTAGAATGTTACCTCACTAATCCTCACGATAACCCAAGAGTTACGTTTTATAATCTTAATTTCACTGATGAGGAAATGGAGGGCCTGAGAAGTAAATTGCCCTAATTATCAGCTAGACTGTGCATCCAGGACTGTCCAACTCTCAGCTGTTCCTTCAACTAGTCTGTCTCTCTGATGTGGGTAATCAAATGGCTTAAAACCAATACAATCCTTGGGCATGGTAGTGCACACCTGTAATCTCAGCACTTGGGAGGCTGAGGATCACCATCACCATGAGTTCAAGGCCAGCCTACATATCGAGTCCCTGTCTCAAAAAACAAAACAAACCAACCCCTCCCCCGCAAAACAAAACAAAACAAAACAGGGATGGAGATTTAGTTCAGTGGTGCTGTGCCTGCCTGGCAAGTGCAAGGTCCTGAGTTTGATTCTCAGTACTGGGAAAAAACAAAACAAAACCCAAAACCAATACAGTCAACTTTCATGGATCATGGGCCTTTATTTGATTTACTCTAGAAGTTCTTGGGTTTTTTTGTTTTTTTTTTGTTGAGACAGGGTCTCACTATGTAGTTGAGGCTGGCCTTGCATATTCTAGAAGTTCTAATCTGATTCTTCAGAATCTTAAATTCTTAGCATCACAGAGGAGGCAACTGACTCCATGTAACTACTCTTTCAAGATCCTGTAGCATGAGACTATTTCCAGATCTTGTCTAATTATACTTAGTCCAAGTAACAGATGGTGGGCAAGGAAGAATACATTATAATTAGAACACGCGTAGAATTTAGGCTAACCTGATTATACAATTAAGACCAATTCCTGTATAGGTTGTTTTGTTTTGTTTTGTTGAGGCAGGGTCTCACTATGACCCTGGCCTTGAACTCATGATGATCCTCTTGCCTCAGTTCCCCAAGTGCTGAGATTACAGACATGTGCCACACTCCTGATTTTCTTGAAATTCAAATTTTTACATAGAGAACTCTCACTAGAATCTTGGTAACTGATTTGAAAACAACAGGTACATAACTAATGAACTGGAATTTGTTCAAAAGACAAAGTACACCTAGAGAACATAAAAATTCTTTATTCAACCTAATCCAGCCAGTACTGAGATAGTCTGCTATATTAAAAACAAGATGTTTAAAAAAATTACAGCAGAATTAGCAAGGCAGTGACTAATTAAGTCACTAATTTTATATTCTTCAGTCATTTGATAATCATGTAATGATGAACAACATTTTCAGCCACTTAAATGAAGATAAGTTAACATCTGCAAAGAAAAGAATTCTAGTGATTGGATTTTATGAAAGAGGTTTAGAACATTAAAGATTCTACAAATGATACAAAAAAGCAATATGAAAATAAACTGGAAAACAAAATATACCCATTCACCCCCAAAATCTACATCATCTCTTTAATTTGCCTTCTTTATTCCCTTTCCCTAGAGTACAGATTATTTAGCAATTAAGAAACAAATACTACTCTTTAGGGGCTTAAAATGCTTTTATTCCTTTAATTTCTCAGTTAACCCTAGAAACAGCCTTCTAATTATTACTTTGCATATGAGAGATGAAGAGAACTATGGCTGAGAAGTGACAATTAAGTCACTTGGCCATGGTCATACAGTTATTAAGAGCTAAATTAGGATTTGAATGTAGGTCCATCTAACTTTAAGTCTACCTGTGATCTTTTGTTGCTTTGTGATGGGGCAGGCCACCTTCCTAGAAAGCTGGCACATGGTATTTCTTGAGCTAAGGCTCTTAAAAGTATTCAGTTTCAGGGCTAGAGGTCACTCTGGTCCCTAGGCACTTGTAGTTCCTTCCCTGTAGCACTTGAAACCCCTCCCTCTGGCCCTCAAATAATTAAGAGTTGTTCCTTCCCTGGTCTTCATGGGCCTTAATGCCAACAAAACCCAGCAGTTATTCCCCATCTTGGGCATTAAAGTAGTATATAAGGGGCAATATGCAACTTTAGAAAAGGCTACCCAAGAACTGTTCTATTATATAACAAAATTATACAGGAAATGTCTGTTTATTATATCTTTTCATATGAAAAATTCAAAACCAATATACTTTATAATTATAGCTACAGAATCTAAGTTATCTTTATATATAATCACAGGTTTAAAATTTCCCCTTAAAATAGTAGCAGTGTTCTCAGTAAGGCTCACACAGTCATATCTTCCCCCTGCCAAGAAATTATAATTCTGAATGTTCAACAGTCATTCATATTACCACCATAACTCAAAGTTAAGACATTCATACTACAGAAAGATGTCATTAATTACTAAAATTAATATACATTATTGCAATCTAACATAAACATAGCCCAGTCTATATTTGGTACACTCATAGAGAAGTGGCCACTTACCAGTAAGGGGAAATATTTACTACTGTCACACATTAGGTACTGAGAACAAAAAAATAGTTTTTGGAACTATCTTTAAAATTTTTAATTTTAATTAATGAAAATAACCAAAACACTATTTAGATTGCCAAACAACATTAAGATGGCCACTCTATTGAAAATGGCTTAAAATAAATATATGCTTCTGAAAAATGAATACAAAACTAAACAATGATTAAGATGCTAACTTTATCAATATGACAAATTATTAAAATCTAAAATCATTAGTATTGGTTTTCTATAATAAACTGACTTAGCCCAAAACCAATAACCTCAAAATTTACTCAACACATCTTTGTTTTCATAATTAGTTACTCACTGACTGACATAAAAACAAAGAGCTCCAGCCCTCACCTTGGTTTATTCACCACTGGTTTCCCATCTGATGAAACCAGGTTGTAAACTCTGAGAGCTGGGACCATGTTTGTCTCGTTCACCACTGTATCCATAGCACTCAGCAGAGCGCCGGGGCAAATAGGTGATTAACAAATATTTGAATAACTGAAAGGGCAAAGTAAAATAATTTTTTGTTTTCTTGCAAACCATTCTCTGCTCAAACTACTATAACCTGGCAGCTGTAATTTCTAGAAATATGGATTTAAAAACCTCATTTCAGAGATTGACGGACCTGATGAGAAAGACACAGTCACACACACTGGTACTCAAGACTACATGAGTCAAAATTACTTTATAAAGTATGATATGTCAACATTGTATAAATAAAATTTAATAGTGAAAAAGTGATCTGGAAGCCCTGTGAACTTTTACCATATACATTTTGGAGAACATCACATAGGTTAAGGAAAACAACAAAATTTCACTTTTCAGATAATAATTTGAATGTTTACATACATTTTTGGTTTGTTACTTATTCATAACTAATTTAATTTATATTTCCTCATATTAACATGTTTCTGTTTAGTATGTAATCAAATTATGACAATGTGAAAAATCCTCATAGTACCTTCATTGAAATGCTGATTCTAAGAAAACACTAAACACGAACATGTACAAAAAAGGCATCAGAATAAAACACCATGTGCATTTTTATATTTGTACAGATTGATCTTTACATTTCTGTCTGGAGAAAATATGAACCCAGTTTACCATGCTAAGATAACGGTTTAGGTGACTGCCTTAAAAGTAGTACATACAAAACAATGAAAACAAATCACATCCTTAGGTTCCGTGATTACTGAGAGGATTTCTCCTGCCCTAAGTGTTTTATTATATTTGTTAAAAATATAGGAGCAGCAGCTTATCACAAGTCTCCACTAGTGCACTAATGATGGAATCAAAACCAGACAACAGACTCATATGGATGAGAGGACTGCAAAAGAACCAGAAGTCACAGTTTTATGCTTCTTCTTGCTCGGGATAATTTAGAATCTTGCGGTGTGCCTGACGTAAATATTGCTGCTGTTTGAAGTAAACCTTAAATGCTCCTTTTATGGCAACAAAAGCAATTCCACCCTAAAATAAAAAGAAAGTTAGCACTTTATAACACAATTCTAGAGAAACACAATACAAGGAATTTTATTCAGATAACAAAAGACATAGGCTTTGATGCTAAATTAATCCAGATGACTGCAAGTAAAACATTCTCTTTTCTACTAGGGCATGAGATAGGGAGACACAGACATTACAGTTAACAGGCGACCAGAGATACCTTTCCCATTATCCTATCCGAGTAATCGTCCTTCCACTTAGCTCTATATCCATCCTGATATAGAAAGGAGAATGCCACAGCATTATATGTAGACTTCCACCAGAGGAGGGAAGCAGGAATAGTACTGACAGTAAACAACATGCATGCTTATTATGTGCTAGTACGTATCTCATTTAATCCTCACTGAGGTACTACCATCCCCATTTCTATTCTATAGGCACAGTCAAGAAATTTGATTTATGTTTCACAGTGAGGCTATCTGTGTTAGGATTTGTACCAGGCAGAGTTTGACTCCACAGCAGAAACTCTACTATAATTCAATTGTCAAGAAGGATGGATGTGATGATTCATGCATATTCCAGAAGAGAAAGTATCCACAGAATAGTTCCAAAAAGCCAGAACTGCTGCAGTGGCTCCTCACCTTTTATTTCCACTCAAGTTAGTGGCTGACAATGGGATCAAATAAAGGTTTAAGGAATAGGAGCCACAAACCAAGTATTTATATAGTTCCCTTTCATTCTCTTTTGTACACCATTTTAAGAAAGTATTATTAAAGCCATCTTACCAAGATTGTCCTTTGTAAATTAGAGTTAACACTACTGAACATCAGTTTACCCACTATTGTTGCGATAGTAGGAAAGACAAGGGCTCCACACAAAATTCGAGTAGCAGAGACATGATCTGCTAAAGGATTAGCTTCAGCAGGAATTCGAGGAACAGGACACCCAATCCCTAGACAAAAAAACAAAAAACAATGCAGTGCATTACTACTAATATATCAGAATAGTTTTAAAAAACTTGAAAAAAGGAGGCTATGGTTCTTCTAAAAAAGGAGGCTATGGTTCTTCTATAGTTAATTTGCTATGCACTTTATACCCATAATCAGGTTCTTACCTGGAAATATACTGTTCAAAATTTGTAGTTTATTTGAATATTTGCGCCATAGTCTAAGCACGTAGTCCTCCCAGCGAATCATCTTGCCTAATATCAGCATGACAGGGATAGTAGGAAGTCCAATTAAAAGGAATAAAGGATCAGCTCTCTCCATCACATCCAGCCCTTCTTTGTGGCCTACAACCTGTGAAACAGACAGCATTTGCTAGAGTCGCTTTCTTATCTAATGAAATGGTACATGTCTGAGCTCAGCTCATTTTGTGGGAAGTATTTAATTTCGAAAGAATACAGAAATAAAAGTTTTAAAAATGAGCTGAAAACCTACTGGTGTTGATTTATAAGAAATAGCTTTATTCAAGGAAAACACAAAGTATCCAGACTATTTTATATTCCATTGGAATAAAAAAGCTCTCAAAATGGTTGATCACATAGATTACATTTCATTGGAGAGGAGAGGATATCTGGTTTTTGCTTCCATTGTTACTTGATTTGGCTAGAGTAGGTTATAATAATTCTAGGTCCTACTTGTCTTCCAAAAGAACATCTGTATCCCTGCTCTTCCCTCTAGGAGATGACTAGTCTGCCAAGGGTTGGACTGTCCTTCAGAAGATGGCCTATCTTCAGAATAAGGGTGTAGCTCAGTGGTAGAATATATGCTTTCCAGGTGCAAGGCTCACTGTAGATGGGTTAATCCAATTTCCAGAATATTAGCTCCAATATCCTCTATTCCTTCTTCTTCCATGCACACTCTATTATTATACAAAAGCAAATTACATCATTCATAAGCCTAAGTGTTAAATACTACTGAGTTACTTATGAAATAACCAATCTAGAGGCTAAGTGCTGCTCTTGACTTTTTGTTTTGATTTGGGTTTTTTTTTTTTTTTTGGTACCGGGGATCTAACTCAGGACCTTGAGCTTGCCAGGCAGGCTCAGTGCCACTGAGCTAAATCCCTGGCATTGATTTGGTTTTTTAAGACAGGGTCTCACTTTGCAGTTCAGGCTGTCCTTGAACTCACTATGTAGGCAAGCAAGGCTGGCCTCGAACTCATGGCAATCCTGAGTGCTAGGATTACAGGTGTGTGTCACCACACTTGGCTTAAGTGCTACTCTTGAAAACCACTACCTAAAGTAGTACAGATGTTAACCTAAGGAGTAAGAAGTTGAAGGTATTTTAGGAAGAATCATTTGGAAGGATGGATAGGTAGAAAAGAAATAAAGCCAGAGAAATCAATCAAGAGGCTCCTTTAGCCATCCAGGTATGGGATGACACATTGCAAGTGGTACAGATAAGATAGTTCCATGAAAAGAACACTTGAAAAATTCATGAACACCAAACCAGTACTACAAAGTGTTCAGAAGGATATTCTAGAAAGAGACAATAAGGATTACAACTCCATGAACCCCAACAGAATGAACCACCAGGCAAGGCAAGAAATTAAACAGAGGAGAAAAGAAGGGAGCCAATAATAGGAAAATAAAATGACAGGGATAAGTCAATACATATCACTTATAACCATTGATGTTTATGGTCTCAATTCACCAATCAAAAGAAATGGAAGAATGGCTCAAGAAGCAAGATTCAACAATATTCTGCATACAAGAATCACATTTAATTAAAAAAGAAATTCACAGAATGAAAAAGTCAAAGGATGGAAAACAATATTCCATGCCACAGGAAACTAGAAAAAAGCAGGGGTAGCTATTCTATTGGCAAACAAAGTAGATTTCAAGCCAAGACTGACTAGAATGAATACAATTGTAATGGGGGACCTCAATACCCCACTGTTAGAAATAGATCAACCAAAAAAAAAAAGTAACAATGAAATATTAGAATTGAACCAAACTTTTGAACAAATGAACTTAGTATATGTCTACAGAGTATTCCACCCCACAACATCACTATACACATTCTTCTCAGCTGCATACAGGATGTTCTGCAAAACAGATCACATACTAGCTCACAGAACACATTTAAGTAAATGTAAAGGAATTGAACTTATCTTATCCCATTTATATTACCAGACCATAGTGCAATGAAATTGGAAATCAATGGCAAAAGAAACCCCAAGACCTTCATTAACACATGAAAATTAACATCCAATGGTTCACAAATGAAATTAAACAGTTTCTACAATTAAATAATGCCAATACAACACACCGGAATTTATGTGATGCAATGAAAGCAATCCTACAAGGGAAATTTATAGTGGTGAATAGCCATATCAGGAGAATAGAGTGGGCTCAAATAAACAACCTAATGTTGAACCTCAAGCTTCTAGAAAAAGGGCAAGCAAAAAACAACAACAACAAAACAAAAACAAAAAAAAGAAGAGCAAGTCAAGCCCAAAGCTTGCATGAGTGGGGAAATTATAAAGATCAGAGCAGAAATTAATGCAATGGAGACTAAAAAAACAATACAAAGAATCAATGAAGAGTTGGTTCTTTGAAAGATTAAATAAAACTATAAACCCTTAGCCAACCTTATTAAAAAAAAAAAAAAGGAAAAATAAGACTCAAATCCATGCAATTAGGAATGAAAAGGGTGAATTCACAACAGCTCCTGCAGAAATCCAGTGTTGGGGACCAGCCTATGTGACTTGGGTCCCATATAGTCCAAGACCAATATAAGGAACAGAAATAAAAAACCACAGGCTTTCTGGCTGTGTTGGGAAAACTCATAAGCACAGTAATCCTAGGGTAAGATAACTTCTACTGAGGACAATACATAGAATACAGGCATCCCAGTAGAGGGAAGGATCTGTTCCCCATTAATCTTGTTCAAAAAACCATATGATAACCTCAATAGATGTGAAAAAGTGTTTGACAAGGTCCAACACCCATTCATGTTAGAAGCCCTTCAGAAAATTGGAATTGATGGTCTTTATCTCAATCTGATAAAAGCCATCAATGACAAAACAATAGCCAGCAGCATACTAAATGGACAAAAATTGAAACCTTTTACTCTAAAATCAGGAACAAGACAAGGATGTCCACTGTTACCACTCTTGTTCAATATAGTTCTTCAAACATTAGCCAGAGCAATTAAACAAGAGAAAGAATTAAAAGGAATAAGGATAGGAAAGGAAGAAGTTAAATTATCATTATTTGTTGATATGATACTCTACATAGAAGACCCCAAAAACTCCACCAAAAGTCTTCTAGCTTTAATAACCAAATTCAGTAGTGTAGCTGGATACAAAGTCAACCCTCAAAATTCAATAGCCTTGGGCCGGGGATTTAGCTCAGTGGTTCAGCCACCTGCCCTGCAAGCACAAGGACCTGAGTTCGAGCCCTGGCACACACACACACACAAAAAATTCAATAGCCTTCCTGTACACAAACAACAAACTCACTGACAGAGAAATTAGAGAAACAATCCCTTTCACAATAGCATCCAAAAAAATGAAATAACTAGGAATTAATCTAATGAAGGAAGTAAAAGACCTCTACATTAAATACTATCATATTCTGAAAAAAGGAAATTGAAGATAGCAGAAAATGGAAAGATGTCCCTTGTTCTTGGGTAGGAAGAACCAATATAGTGAAAATGGCCGTATTTTCAAAATTGTTATACAGATTTAATGCAATCCTGATCAAAATTCCAACAACATATCTCACAGAATCAGAGGAAACAATCCTAAAATTCATTTGGAACCAGAAGAGACTTAGAATAGCAAAGGCAATTCTGGGCAACAAAGGCAAGGCAGGGGCCTTTCCTGGCCTGAAATTATACTACAAAGCTATGATGATAAAACCAGCATGGCACTGGCAAAAAAACCAGATCTGAGGATCAATAAAACAGATTAGAAGATGCAGAAACAACTCCAGACATACTAAGCCACCTTATCTTTGAAAAAGGAGCCTACCACCTTCACTGGAAGAAAGACAGCCTATTTAATAAATGGTGTTGGAAAAACTGGCTTTCCACTTGCCAAAGATTAAAAGTAGACCCATTCTTTCACCATGGACTAAACTAAAATCGAAATGGATCAGAGATCTAAGTATTAAAAGAGAAATACTTAATCTGCTGGAATACAGAACTGTCAAAGACATTTGTGTAGGCAACAATTTTATGACCAAAGCCTGGATTGCACAGGAACTATCACAAAGAATGAACAACTGGGATCTCATCTTATTAAAAAGATTTGGCACAGCAAGAGAAACCAACAACAGAGTGAAGAGACAACCCACAGTGTGAAAAAATATTTGCCAGTTGTTCCTCAAAGGACGACTATGTAGAATATATGAAGAACTCAAAAAAATCAGAACCCCCCCAAATTTAAAGACCCCAGTCTAAAAATGGTCATCTGAAATGAATAGACACTTCTCAGATAAGGAAGTAGAAACAGAAAATAAATATATGAAAAAATGTTCAACATCACTGGTCACTCACGAGATGCCAATTAAAAGAATGCTGAGATTCCATCTCACTCCCAAAAGAAGGTCTGTCATCAAGAAATCAACCAGTTTAAAAAAAAAATAAAGAAGGCCGGGGATTTAGCTCAGTGGTTCCGCTTCCTGCCTGGCAAGAACAAGGTCCCTCGTTCGATTCCCTGGTACCAAAAACAAACAAACAAAAAGAAATCAACCAGTAACAAATAAATGCTGGTGGGAAATGGAAAAGTAGGAACCCTTCTCCACTGTTGGTGGGAGTGTAGACTGGTGCAACCACTATGGTAATCAGTACAGAAATTCTTCAAAGAACTAAAACTGGCATCATACCACAGCGATATATGCATACCCATGTTTGTTTTGTTTTTGGTACCAGGGATTGAACTCAGGACCTTGTGCTTGCGAGGCAGGCGCTGGAACCACTGAGCTAAATCCGTGGCCCATGCATACCCATGTTTATAGCGGCACAGTTTGTAATAGCTAAATCCTGGAAACAGCCCAAATGTCCATCAACTGACAAATGAACAAAGAAAATGTGGGTTTAAAAAAATATAATGGAATACTACTCTGCCATAAAGGAGGATGAGCTTGAGACATTTATAGCTAAATGGATGGACCTGAGACCAACTATTAAGTGAAATAAATCAGACACACATGTTTAAATATCACACTGTTCTCTGATATGAGAAACTGAAAGTGGAAATAAGGACTGAAATGTATAACAGACATTGGAAAATGGGAAGAAAATATTCAAATGAGAAGGGAATAAGGGAGGGGGTAGGGGGAAAGGAAATGAGGGACAAGCAAAAAAGAAAATAGAAAAAACAAATGGAAACAAAGCTTTTGTATATAAGGAGGGGAAATGGAGTCAAAGGTGGGAGGTGGAAAAAATGAAGAAGCAAGATATATCATGTACAGGTACAAATTTCCTATGATGAATGTTATCATTATGTATTTCTAAAATGTACTGTTTTACTTCAAAAAAAATAAAACCACATGAGGATCAGTGGACTAGATTAGAAGATGCAGAAACAACTACAGACATACTCAGTCACCTCATCTTTGACAAAGGAGCCAACCACCCTCACTGGAGGAAAGATAGACTAATAAATGGTGTTGGAAAAACCGGATTCCAACCTGCCAAAGATTAAAACTAGACCCATACCTATCACCATGCACTAAACTAAGATTGAAGTGGATTAAAGATCTAAATATTAAGATGGAAACACTAAATTTGCTGGAAGATAAGTTAGGTAGAACTCTTGAAGACATTGGCATAGGTAAAGACTTCATGAACAAAATCTCAGTAGCACAGGAACTAGCACAAAGAATCAACAACTGGGATCTCATCTTATTAAAAAGCTTCTGTACTGCAAGAGAAACCACCAACAGAGCTAAGAGATAACCTACAATGTGGGAAAAAATTTTCAGCATCTGTACCTTAGACAAAGGACTACTATCTAGAATATATAAAGAATTGAAAAAAATCAGACCCCACAAATTCAAAGACCCAATTCAAAAATGGGCATCTGAAATGAACAGACATTTCTCAAAGAAGTAAAAGCAGCAAATAAATATATGAAAAAATGTTCAACATCACTGGTCATTCAAGAGATGCAGATGAAAACAACACTGAGATTCCACCTCACCCCAGAAAGAATGGCTGCTATCAAGAAATCAACCAATAACAAATGCTGGTGGGGGTGTGGGGAGAAAGGAACCCTTCTCCATTGTTGGTGGGAGTGCAGACTGGTGCAACCACTGTGGAAATCAGTATGGAGAAACCTCAAAGAACTAGGGTTAGAGGTCCCATTTGACCCAGCTATTCCCCTGCTGGGTATCTTCCCAAAAGAATTAAAGGAATCATACCACAGCAATATATGTGCTCCCATGTTTATAGCGGCACAGTTTGTAAAAGCTAAAACTTGGAAACAGCCCAAATGCCCATCAACTGGAAAATGGATAAAGAAGATGTGGGGTTTTTTTTTATAAAAGAGTACTACTCTGCCATAAAGAATGAGAAACTAGGGATATTTATAGCTAAATGGATTCATATTGAGGCCATCCTCGTAAGTGAAATAAATAGGACACACATGTAAATACTGAATAGTTTCTCTAGTGTAAGAAACTGAAAGTGTAATTAAGGATTGAAATGATTAAAATGAATAATTGATAATCTGAATTAGGAAGAAAAGGTTCAAAGGGGTAGGGGTGGCAGGAGGGGAAGGGGAGAGATCAGGGTTACAGGCTGGAATCTGGAAGAATCCATATATAGATTGTGTTTAAAAGTACAGAAAGAGATGCAGAGAGAGACTAGGCTGGAGCTCATCAATGGGTTGCAAAGGAAGAGTCACTGAGATCAAAGGAAAGAAGGATGTGTTTCCAGAATAAGCACATACAAGTATGTATAATACACAGTACTTGATAGTGTGATAAATGACTGTTACTGTTTCAGGTACTTATCATAACATGCTGTGCTTTTCATCCTTTAGAGCATAATCCTACTTATATAAAAGTTTACTGTAAAAGAGTGTGCTGCTATGTCAATGGTAGCCTCATGTATCTCGTGTTTAACTGCGTATTTGGATAATATCAAGGGGCCATCACAGATGACTGATGTATACCTTCTCAGTTTGCACTTAGAAGTTGGCACTCTGTGTGCTACTTTGCGATACACATGGATGAAATTGTGTAATAACATATTTCTCAGATTATGTTTCCATCACATGTCACATGACTCTATTGAAATTTAAATTTAAAAAATTTGGCCTATGTGGAGTCTACTAGCTAATTAGAATTTTTTTCCAGACCACTATTTGTTCAATATTAGTTTTGAAAATCTTTCTAAAACAAATCACATCCTTTGATGTCTTGTTAATGCTGGAGATGTTTTTTTAAATTATATTCAAAAATGTTTAAGTACTTTTCAGTTTTGCTTTGGTTGAGTTCTATTATATTTGAATATTATTATACTTTTTTCCCTTGCATTGCTTTTCTTTGAATAATTTTAATTTTTGTATATATGTGTGTTTAGTGAATAAAGTTATACATTAAAAAAATAAAACCACAATAATACACATAACTCCTAAAATATTTAATAGATCTTCACATCAAAAGTAGTATTACTAGAGTGAAATAGTAAACCTGCATCACTGTCACTGCTCCATAAGTCACAGCTGTCCAATAGATAGAGCCAACCATTATTCCTGCTGCAGCAAATGGACAAGCTTTTGAGATCAGTCTATCTGCAAGATCCAAGACGTAAACAACTGGACCTGTAATATAAAGAAAACAAGTAAAGTGTCAAACATAGTGGATTTTTAAAATGACTTGTTCTGCCCAGCATGGTGGCACATGTCTGTAATCCCAGCACTCAGGAGACTGAGGCAGGAGGATCACTGAGAGTTCGAGGACAGCCTGGGCTACACAATGAGACCTTGTACCACCCCCCAAAAAGACTTGTTCAATATTTTCTATAGATCTAAAATTCTTTTATAGAATTGGATGCTCTAATGTTTTAAAAATAATTGTTTTAAATTTGGTAGAAACTCAGAATTGAATAGAATTTCTCAGACATTTGCATCAATAGCTAAATATTATTCTAAATTCTAGGAAACAGACTATTCAAATTTTATTACTGAACCTATAATTACAGCCTCAAACACAGCTGCTTCTTATAAAGGAAAGAGTCCTGTCACTTCCCTCTCAATCACACTGGCTACTGCAGAAAGGGTCATTTTAACTTGCCCCTGTGAAACAGTTCTGACAACCATTAAATTTTGTAGTATGTATTTGGTAAGAATATCACTTCTCTGACTTCATTGTATGTCTTGGTAAAGAGTGTAAAGGTAGCCAAAGTTACTTTCATGTAGTTACACAAAACTGTTTTGATTTTCAATATGGTATAATTAGTATAGTATTCTTATCTAACAAGCTTCTTTTTATGATTATGATTATTTTGTGTAGTTTTTGTGGCATTCCAACAGCTGTATGTGCTAATTATGCTTCTATTATGTGCTATTTTATTTTGTTTTTGGTACAGGGGATCGAACTCGGGACCCTGTGCTTGTGAGGCAGGTGCCAGAATCACTGAGCTAAATCCCCAGCCCTACTATGTGCTATTTTAAAGGTATTCTACTAATTGCCATTAAACTCAAATTTTTTTTTTTTTTTGGTTCTGGTGACAGAACTTCACCAAGGCCTTCACATTGAGCTATATCCCCAGTCCTTTCTATTTTGAGACAAAGTCTCTCTAAGTCACTATGGTGCCCAGGCTAGGCTCAAACTTGTGATCCTCTGGCCTCCACCTTCCAGAGTTGGGATTACAAGCATGCACCACCACACCCAGTAGCCCAACATACTGTATGGCTCCAGAATTTTTCTGTTGTTCTTTATGGGCTTTTTTTTTTTTTTTTGGTACTGGGGACAGAGCTCAGGACCTTGTGTATGAGAGGCAGGTGGTGGCACCACTGAGCTAAATCCCCAGCCTCAGAAATTTTTTGAAAAGTGGAAGAGTCTGGCTTTATTCAAAGCAAGGCCAAAGAACTGTATATCTAAGTTGAACCAAAAATATACAAAACCTGTGGATTTAAGAATTATTATTTTTATCCCTGGTACCAAAAAAAAAAAAAAAAAGAATTATTATTTTTGAACATTCTCTTTATATAAATTATTCCTTCAGACATTTTCCTAGAAATGTATGACATTACCTATCTTCTGGGGGCATACAATCTAAAGGATACTATACATATAAGAAGTTATCTTCATTGTACAAATAAATTAACAATCTGATGATAAAATACTTAAACATATGAAATCAAAGCAACCTAGGGAGACGCTGGGGATTTAGCTCAGTGGTACTGCTGCCTGCCTCGAAAGCCCAAGGTCCTGAGTTCGAACCCCGGTATCAAAAAATCCCAAGAAACCCCAAAAACCAAAGCAACCTAAGAAACCCCTGTTGAAGATGCCTAGCTGATCACTGGAGCCAGTGATATTACTAGTAACTATATATAGAGAGACTATGTTATGAAGTAAAGAGAACACTAGGGGAGATACTAAAGGACCTGTTACTTAAATGTAGCACATCAACTTAATATTGTCAAGCTTTAACTTCTGTAACATTTAAAACTATGGTAAGGTGTCTTTTAGGACTAAAGACATGAAGCCTAATTTAGTGCCTAGTGACTCTACATCCTCTAATTATAGTTAGCATTTCTTCAGTATCTTACATAACAGCAGGTGTTACATGCATCATTATTTAATCTCATAACGTAGGGCTTAACTCTGAAAATACATGAATTCACTGGGTTCACTTTATAACTCCCTCAGAAGGTAGAGAAAACAAAACAAAAAACCAAAACTTAGTTGCCAAAGATCCCTCAAATGCTGGTACTAGAAGTTAAAGTATAATTATGGCTGTGCCTGCCTTGCAAGCACAAGGTCCTGAGTTCAATCCCCAGTAAAAAAAAAAAAAAAAAAAAAAAAGATTATAAGTACATTGGTACCTCTCAGTTTATGAACTTAATTTGTTTTACGATTTTTGGGAAGATGGTTGTGTTTGTATTTGTGTAGAGAAGGTGGTCGTGGTCGTGTCATCATCCAATCTAGGGTTTGTGAATGGAAGCAAATTGTCAAACAATTTTGTTTGTGAACTGAATTGTTTGCAAACAGAAGTGTTTGTGAACGGAGATACTACTATAAACAGTATAAAACTGCATTTCAGCTTTCATATCTTTGATAATTCTTTAATCAGAAAAATGAAACTACAAGAGAGTGTCTACAGACTTCTACCCTTATACCCAAATTCCACGTATCTGATGTCAATCCCTTCACCTGTAGACTAGACCTCATCCCCCCTCAACCCAAGGTCACAGCTCCAGTAATCTTCTCCCACTCTCCTGTATCCTTTTCCCCTACTCTTTATTGGCTTATTTCCATCAAATAAAACATGCTATTATTTCTTCTATTTAATAAAAAAAACAAAACCCTCTTCTCTTGATCTTCTTGTTGCATAACTCCATTTCTTGGTTCCCTTTGCATAAAATTCCTGAAAAGAACTGTCTATGTGTATTTTAATTCTCTTGAACCCTCTCTACCCAAACTGCTTAAGGACATCACAAATAACCTCTACATATTTAAATCCAATGGTTAGTCTCAGTTTTCTTACTTGACTCATCAACATCTGACCTTTTCTTCCCAATATATGGTTCTCCATTGTATTTCTAGGACAGTGACATCTTTTGTTTTTCTTTTTTACCCATAATTTTTCAGTCTTCTTTGGTGGCTTCTGTTGTTCTTGACTTCAGTGAGGCTCACCCTCCCAACCTCTACACCTCATCAAACTCCTTGATTATGTATTTTTCTTTCTCTTTTTCCAAAAGTATTTATCACTTAGCATACTCTAATTTACTTATTAAATCAATTTCCATTTACTAGAACAAGGGTTAGGAAATTATAGCCCCTGGGCCAAATCTAGCCAGTTGTTTTGTAAATAGTTTTATCAGAATATGACTATATACAAAGTCTGAAACATTTACTATCTGGTTCTTTACAGAAAAGGTTTGCTGACTCTTGCACTAGAACATAAACTCCAAAGCCAGAATTATCTTTTGGCCTTCTTTATTGATATATCCCAAGTTCCTATGACTCTCAAGGATTTGCTAAATTCTCTACTAAGGTACTTATAGTAGTTGGAACTATCTACTAAAGGAGTGAAATGATGTAATTCTTTAAAAAAACTAAATATTTGGATGAAAGTATAATCCCTAAAAAGCAACCTATCACTATTATTTTTATGTCATGAATGATAATATACAGGTTTGAACTGTTTTTCCTCAAAAGATCATAGAAGGCTCTAACAGAATCAGCTCAATTTTCTTCCTGACACATTGGATGTGAGTTCTTTTGTTCAGGGCAAGAAAAAATCTTAAGTGTTTCCTTTAGGAAATTTTGTACTTCTTGTTTGGTTATATGTAAAAGATATCCCAGGTAAAATGAATATACAGCCTGCATTTTATAGCACCTAATTCAAATTTTTCTGAGAAAATTCTCTTTTGTCTTAAGTTTACTTTGCCTAACTCTCTCAAGGCACTGCCATACAGATTGGTCCAAGATTGGTTCAGTATTTAGAAGGAATGATAAATGGCTAGTGTTAAACACAGCATTAGAATATTAAATTGTACCTGGGGGGTAATTTCTAAAAGCTGAAGATTAGGCAGGTTATTTGGTAAGAACAAACGACTGAAATCCTTTGGATGACAGCCCCTAACCTATACTCTTTCTTTTAGGAAGAGCTATGGTCTTATGAGTCATAATCTTAGAAAAACAGCCTTAGCCACTAGATTCTTCTTATTGTCAGATTACAACAGAAAAGAGTTATGGGAAGTGGGGAAAGGCAAGATCTTAGCCCAGTGGTGGTGAACCTATGACATGCATGCTACAGTAGGCTGTTTGTATCATTGAAAGCCCTAAAAGGTCCACCATCACTATCCTAGCCCTTGAAAACCTCCACTCTAACAGAAAGAAGCATGAAAAAAATGTATCACATAAGTTAAATATCTAAGGGCAAAAAAGTTTCATATTTAAAAAAGGCATTACTGCATTTTTAATGCCTTGCTGGGCTTCACTTATGTTTTCAACAGTAGCGTATTTATACAATGGATGACAACTGAAGAAGTTTTGTAAAACTGTAAATTTTGAAAATCTAATAATTTAAAGAACACTAGAGAAGTTTGCAATGAAAAGGAAGTCTATTGTGAACTCTGGTACAATAAAGCAGCTCTTGTAAAGACAACAACTAAGTATATCCTAATATTGGGGTAAATTCAAGTTTTCATATTTCAGATTAAATGAGCTGAACATTTGGGAAGAAACTTAATAGTCCATATCTACTGAAAAAGAAGTCATTAATTAGTTTTATCTAATGGGTACTGCAAAAGTGGATTTGTGACTGCTGTGATTCAAATCCAAGTCTACAGAGACACTGTTGTTAAAGGGCCAGGTGCAGTGGCATTCACCTGTAGTCCTAGCTACTCAAGAGGCCAAGACAGGCAAGACAATCACTTGAGCCTAGGAATTTGATGCCAGCTAGGCAACAAGACTATCTAAAAACAAAAGAAAACCAAAATACAAACAAATTATAAACCTTGGAATTTAAGAAATCAATGACTGAAGGGCAGACAGATAATAATGTTGAAACATTTGCTGGCACTGATTATAACACCCAGAACTCCCAGGGTCTATATCTCAGACACAAGAGTATTTTCAAAATCAAATA